GCAGTCAATTTTCTTATACACAAATTGAAACTTTTAGAAAAAGAAATTTGAATGTCTAATTTTCTTATATACATAAATATACAATGTACTTACTTGTGATTATAATGACAATGTACGTTAATTCATCATTCATAATAGAAATATCTCTAAGCTGATGCCAAGGAAATATAAATTGACATTTATCCCAATCTATATAGATGGTCCTCCGTCTTCATAGTTATGTAGAAAAACTCTTATATAAATGCTCCATATTTGAATGATACTATTAAAGATAGTATCATTTATACATAAAATGTATTAAGAACTCAGTTTGACATAAATGGGCTTCAATGGTGTGATCTTTAAACTTAGGCTGTACTTGTGTGACTGTTAGCACCGCTGATAGCACTAAATAAAGCAGCACTGTTACGTTTGAAATTGCCGACTTGCTCGTCAGGCCAAATGGGTTCTCCGAGCAAGGACGATAAATTTTGACAAAGTTTCTGATAATTCTCGCGTAATACTTCTTGATATTCTTGCTGGTCAGATGTAATCAATTTGCTGTTTATTTGTAGAGCCGTATAACATATTTTAACAAACTCCCTGAAAACCACAAAATTTTGAAAATGCAATATCAATTCCGCTTCGACTAATAAATGCATTGAAATTTTCTGTCGACGACAAATGAAATCAGTGTATTTAAAAATATACCTAAGGTACTTACCTAAATACGTCTTTCAGTTCTTCCACTTTATCGTCTGGATAATGGGGAGATAATGCAGGGTCCAGAAATGCGGAGGCATACGCGAGTGGTCCAGCATTTACTGTAACGCATATACTTCCTTGTAGCCTTAATTGTAATTTTTTCACATCCGTTGGACCTACAAGAGCCACATCTTCTAACTCTTGAACACGCTGACGCATTTCGTCTAAAGCAACTTCGATTGGACTTAACTCCATTACTCGCTTTTCGACAACTAAAATGCGCTTTTTGATGTACGGGAAAGAATATTGTGCTAAAACGATAAAACATATTATAATATGTCTATATTTATAAATTTCAGTAATTAACATAATCAAACAATACAATGAATACATAGCAGTAATAGGCACATACTTGTAAGAATAGTTCTACGTTTCCATTGTTCTTCTGGGCTACCTCTAGCTTTCCCTTCCTTAGTAAATGGTGTTTCAAACATAAAACATGATACGTTATGATTCTGTTCAAACTCTGTTAGCCGTGTTTCCAGTTCAAATTTCTCGAAGTAAGGTGTAACATGCGTTACTTGAATGTGAGCTATTTTTGGATCGAGTTCAGTTGTATCGATAGGCACGGAATCCATTATCATTTTAACATTTTCCGAGCCAAATTTCTCAGAATATAAACGATGAAGGCGTTCTGAAATTTCTGATAGAGATGTAATTTTCGGTTCTTTGTAGATATATTCTTGTCCATTTTCATCCTCGAAGTACGCCTAAAAATTACAAGGTGTTCAATTCATACAGTACTCTAAATGCATAATAAGTTAATAAGTCATGAGAGTTAAACTGGGGGAATGCAATTGGAAACCGGGAATTGCAGACTGTATCTTCTGTGTACATATACATGTTTTGAAAAATGAATGGTGTTAACACCGTTTACACTAATAATACATTCAGATGATATGAACTTACCGTGCCAAAGAAAGCAACTCTATAAAACCTTCCGAGAAGTCGTTTACCGGATTTTGTAACTTCAACAATTTTATTACAAGCTTGCGCCAAATGCGAATAACAGTTAGCCAGAGCTTCGTAATTTCGTTTCTTTTCATACATAGGAACTATTAATCTATACAAGTGCCCAAGAAGTTCGAATCGTTCTGCTTTTTCTAGCATCTCGGCACAAATTTCTAACTGCTCGAGAAGTATGCATTCGTTGTAATGAATATCTTGAACCCCTAAAATGAATCATGATGTTCCAAATCAATTTTTCATAAAGATATCGTATAAGCAATTGATGCAAAATACTTTCATTTCATGCGCATCATCGATTGTTTTTTGAAATGAGTAACAAACTGATAATAAAACTATATAAATCCACTAAATAAATGCATCATAACATTAACTGGTATATACTGAACAGACCATGAAAACAAAACAAATGTTCAAATGATATAACATTGTGCGCATGCATTGAAACTTTACTATAATAAAACATAAAACATAGTACAAACACATGTAAAACATACAAATCTCACCAGCATCGAGCTTGAGACTACATTCATCTCTGGAAATGTTCTCAGAAATCTTGTCAAAAGCTTCTGCACCCCATGCGTGAACTTTCCTCAATTTTAAGTATTCAGCCATTAACGCGGCAATATGTAATTGACAACAAGCAGCCTAAATTAAACGTATAAATGTTCAAGATAGAGACGACTTTACTTCTGTAGAATTTGTTACAATGAATAAAATTGCAAAATGTATACTTATGTACCTCCGAGAAATTTCCTTCCCTTACATGATTTCTAGCCATGGTATCCAACCATGTATGTCTCAATTCTGGCGTACTGGCATAAGAATTGGCTAAACTATGTTGTAAGTCTACCAACATTTCAGGATCATTGTTATGTTCTCTCATTTGAGCCGTCGCCATCAAAACAGTTCTAATTCTTTTGTTAAGATCTTTAACTTCGACTGGAAAACCGGTACCTTTCATCACTTTGTCAGATGAAGCATAACTATTTATCAACGACAGGGACTCTTGAAATCTCGAATTATTTAAACCAATGACGTTTCCAAGCATTTGCGAAACAGATATTATTACCTATTTGGAAATAAAACAGTTATCGAGCATTCTTAGACGTAACATTTCATTCTTTTTATTTGAAAATTACATTTCTCAAGTGGCTTACTTGTAAATGGACTCTGGTTAATCCTTTTCTGCTAGTAAATTCAAAATTACTTCTCATAAGAAGATAAAGCAAAGCACATGACTCCTGTCTGATGGAACTCAATTTACTGTTGCAGCAGCGTAATAATTCGTAACATAATCGGCCACATAAAACTGCGCTTCCTAAAAAAATTAATAACATTTAAACAATTAAAATCAACCAAAATGTTTTCACCTTTCAAAATAAAAGAAAGCTGTAATATTGGTATATACATACCTTGAAAAAGAATCGTGGAATAATTATTTAAAAAAGCTCTTAAACTGGCGAAAACATGTCGTAGTAAACTTTCGGACTGTCCAACTTGTAAAAACGACAGATATATACTAAATACTTTCTGCATTATTGGATTATCCCCATTTTCTGTTAAAAGTATGTCCTAAAATAAAAACAATATGAATATCTGTAATAAATTTTTCGTAAAGTTTCTAATTCATTATAAAACTCCTTATATTGTTCTATTTGTACCTTAAAATGAATACAAAATAATCCTAAACAATCCAATGCGATGAGACCAACTTCCGTAGCCATATTAGCTTCTAATAAAGCTTGTTGTATTTTTTCGGTATCACTTTCAACAAGGTTCTCTCTTGCCGCACTATTATGTGGTTGCAAGGTGCTGGTAGCCGGTCCTTCGTTCGAAAAATCAGGAGGCTGCATTCTGGCCGGTAATGTCATTGCTTTTATCGTTCGCGGTTTTCCAGAACTTCCCGTATGCGTAGCTATTTGTCTTTTTCCGGCATATTTGAAGTGATGAAGGCTCATTCTACAAAAAAATCGGACATTATAATGTGTAATTTATATGAAGAATACATTGTTAAAAACAATTAGAGCATCTATTTATAAATTATCATTTAGTTATAATCTATCAATGAAATAGATCTGTTAACTTACTCTATCACTGTAAAGAAGCTTAGAATTTCATAATCACTGCACTGTTGCCACCATGCGATGACTTGATGATCTCCCAAATATTTTACCACAAATAGAAAACAAAGTAAAATATCCTTAACTTCCGATGATTGGAACTTATCGCACCTCGGCGAAGATTGCGTAACGCTCAGAGAACGAGAATGTCTCTTTTTCTCGTCGGTACCGTTTTCGATGTGGTCGCGAATAATGGTAGTCTCTTGAGATATATTAGACTGAGAAGCACCAGATATTGTCGATGCGTCTGATTCAATACTAGTACACGAATATCCGTTAACCAAACCATGGCCCGCTATGGCTGCGAAGTATGTGGAGTCTCGTAGGTGCATAGATGCTCTTATTGGAGATGATGTATCCAAATGCAATGTGAGTCTGCATATGCATTATATTATGAAAATTTACATAATATAATAATAACTAATTCTGTACATTTAGATACATTATGTACGGAGAAATCTGCACACAATGTAAATTTCTTTTTTCTTGATATGTACCTATGAATCGACTTCGGAGTTCCAGTGGTCACAGAATTATTACTAACAGTATCTTTATTTGCTAAAAATGAACTGCTGGTTGATATCCTGTTAATACCATTTTCTTTAATTTCTGTTTTATTGTCATCATGGGTAGATTGCAATCGATGTAAATTCTCCAATACGATACCCAACCACGGTATATAAATAGAAGCTATTCTGCTTAACTGGCCCTGTAATTATGGAATTGGATTAAATTCAAATGATCTGTCATCTTGTCATAGCAACATGTAGAATATTTCATAAATTATGTACGTTGTATATGAATATGTACATATGACATGGTGTAAAAATAAAACTGAATGAAAACAAATTTACCTTATTTTGATACCTATCATCAAGCTCATGTTTAGCCATTAAATCCCGTAATGTGGCTACGGCTACTTTACGAATTTGTACAATTTCATTTAAAGACATTCTAACTTCTTGCATCAAGAGGCCAGCTAAGAAATGATGTTTGCAGAATTCTTGCGACAAACAATACTCATTGATTAAATCTGTAATAAATTAAATACAAATTAATGAATTCCAATGATTCACATCCCAAGTTAAAAGTTGATTGAAAAATAGAGAATGTACACATTCAAGGGCCACCTAAAAATATTAAAGATGAAATGAAATTAAAATAGCTTAAATGAAATAGTTTTTATAAACTGCTATAAAGTGTAGTGGCTATATAGTATTATAGGCATAATTAAATGAAAACGTTATTTCGTAATTGAAGTTATTCTGATTAATATTAATAAATATTGGTCATAATTTTGATATTTGCAAATTCATGCGATTTTTTGACCTCACAAACGTTTTCAACGGTAAATATAAAGGTGAAAATACAAAACGTTGCATGTGAAAGGTGTTGTATAACAAACTGTACACAAGATTTTTCATTGTAAAACTTTCCGTGCAAACTTCATTAGTGATAGATAAGAAAGTAAGATTAAAATTTCTTGTTATAGTCAACATTCCAATCTTACTTTTGTCTATATATATGTGGAATATTCATAAAAATATTTCGTATTTGATAATTTCAACTTGGTAATCTGCAATGCACGTCGAAACAGGCTTGTGTAGCAACAAATAAGAATGCGAAAAAGTGGTTTCTAAACATCTACTGATTGATAATGATTTAAGATAATTGTGTGCAACTTCCACTCACTATGGCTACGGTAACAAACCACATTAAAGACGGAAGCGTATGACTTAACATACCATCACATTGTGGATCACATACAGTCTCTGTACTTTCTGAATAAAGTATAAAACGATTACATTACGAAGTTTTATTTATTAGTGTATAATATAGTATTTGATTTATTTTTACCTTTAGAAGTAATTCGAGACTGCATCATTGGCAAATTGAAAGACACGTAATGTTCGTGCGAACAAATTATTTGCAGGAACGTAAACTTAAAATCATGTAGTGTGCGTGAATCACCAGGAGCAAAGTTATCCATGTATAAATTGATTAAATTGAAAACGAATCCACGATCCATAAATGTAAGACATCGCTATTTTACAGTATGAAAAATTCGTAATGAGAATATTGTAATTGGAGAATATACAATTAAAAAATAATAGATTACCTTTAAAAATTGTGCGAAGCTTTTGTTCAATTCATGAGTTTCGATAGGCATTTCTTTATATTTATTCATAATATAAGGCATAATAACTTCTACTAAACCTCGGATCTTTTCATGATACTCTTTCGAGAATCTTTCATTCCTATGCATCTACAATAAAGTATATAAGAAGAAAATTCTTATTATAATTTGTATTTCACATATTATCAGAAGTAAAAAGTAAATGTTAAAAATTATACCTTTATTCTCCCTGTTGTTAGTAAATGTTGTGCCATACTTTTAATCATTATTTCGAAAAAAAAACTGGAGTGATGCATAAATTTATTGACTACCAGAAAATCGGTATTACTTGGCTGCAATAACGTAGGGAGATGTTTCGCTAGCTGTTCATGAACAGTTACATTACCGTTCCCTTGAGAAGGAGGTACAAACACAAACTATAAAACAGAACAATATTAACATGCGTGAGAAGATAAATGAGAATAGGTTTTATTATGGATTTAGGTATTATTATTTAAAGATAATGCACTGATTGGAATAAACTGTTATGACCACTTATTCTGTCCCTATCTCAAATAGAATTTGTATCTAATTTTACCTTTATATAAGCTTGAAGCGTGTCTTTTCTGCCAGCTTCATGCACCATATTTATGAAATGAATTAAGACTCTTATAGTATATAATGCAACTTCTTCGTTCGTAGTATGAGTTATCAATGTAAACAGTTGATTCAGAATAGTAGGAAGAAACGTGATAACAGTAACTAGTTGTACCGCGTGAGCGGCTTTTAATATTTTGCATGTTTCCGAATCAGCCGGTACCGCAGCTAGTTTCGTATCTAGTACACGTTCTATGTGAGCAAATAAGTTGTGCAAGTGTACATCGCGCGTAAAAACAGTCGAAATCAACTGAAGTGCTACTGTAAACACTGGCCGTTGAGAATCTATCCATAGAATCTCCGGACCCGCATTCTAGAATAAAAAGTTTAGCTTAAGAGTTAAGTTATTGAACTTAAAAAAGAGTGAGGTATATATTTTTTAATATGATTCTATTCTTACCCCTTTTCCAAGGCCAAGAGGTTGTATAGAAAGATACCCTGAGGGTAAATGAGTTGCTACAGGCAATGTTTGTACATTCATATCCATATCCACATTTAATCTAGTAAAATATAACATTAATATAAAGTGACAATTGTAACATAATTGAATCACTATAGTTACTTCACAAAAACTATATATGTATTGTTATTCGTATAAAGCATAAGAGAGGTACACAAGTACTCCTATTAACTTAATAATAAAGATGAAGAATAATTATTATTACAATTAACATACCTTCCTTTGTGGACTAAGGGCGACCAAGCATACCCAACACAATTTTCAACACCATTCTCCTTTTTTTTATTCATATCGCAACTTATATGATAAAAAGTAAAGAGCAAGTGATGCTTAGAATGAAGTTTGGTTGGCAAACGTATCTTAATTTCTTCGTACCAGGAAGGAGTCGCATTATGATGAAGCACCGCGCATGATGCTCGTAAGCATAAAAGTGGAGCACCGGGTTTTCCATATATACACTATTGAGAAAACATACAAAAGAAAAGTTGAAAATAAAAGATGCAAAAAGATAAAATTATATTGTCCCTTCGCTGACGAAATGGATATTATACATACCCTTATAGGTGTTGCATCTTCACTGTCATCATCTCGTAATTCAACAACACACGCAATATTTCTAGCTCTGGTAAATATCTTCTGAGTATCAAAACAGAGAGTTTGTGGATACACATAGAGATGATTAATGTAAGTAGTGTATGGATGGACATCTTTTTCAGAAATATTTTCAAATTCTGCAATTTCAAGGGTTGGTTCGGATGTTGGTGGCAATGGAAAAGGCTTTAAAGCTGACAAAGATGTAGATAATGTATCTACAAAAATTACCTTTAAAAATTGTGCGAAGCTTTTGTTCAATTCATGAGTTTCGATAGGCATTTCTTTATATTTATTCATAATATAAGGCATAATAACTTCTACTAAACCTCGGATCTTTTCATGATACTCTTTCGAGAATCTTTCATTCCTATGCATCTACAATAAAGTATATAAGAAGAAAATTCTTATTATAATTTGTATTTCACATATTATCAGAAGTAAAAAGTAAATGTTAAAAATTATACCTTTATTCTCCCTGTTGTTAGTAAATGTTGTGCCATACTTTTAATCATTATTTCGAAAAAAAAACTGGAGTGATGCATAAATTTATTGACTACCAGAAAATCGGTATTACTTGGCTGCAATAACGTAGGGAGATGTTTCGCTAGCTGTTCATGAACAGTTACATTACCGTTCCCTTGAGAAGGAGGTACAAACACAAACTATAAAACAGAACAATATTAACATGCGTGAGAAGATAAATGAGAATAGGTTTTATTATGGATTTAGGTATTATTATTTAAAGATAATGCACTGATTGGAATAAACTGTTATGACCACTTATTCTGTCCCTATCTCAAATAGAATTTGTATCTAATTTTACCTTTATATAAGCTTGAAGCGTGTCTTTTCTGCCAGCTTCATGCACCATATTTATGAAATGAATTAAGACTCTTATAGTATATAATGCAACTTCTTCGTTCGTAGTATGAGTTATCAATGTAAACAGTTGATTCAGAATAGTAGGAAGAAACGTGATAACAGTAACTAGTTGTACCGCGTGAGCGGCTTTTAATATTTTGCATGTTTCCGAATCAGCCGGTACCGCAGCTAGTTTCGTATCTAGTACACGTTCTATGTGAGCAAATAAGTTGTGCAAGTGTACATCGCGCGTAAAAACAGTCGAAATCAACTGAAGTGCTACTGTAAACACTGGCCGTTGAGAATCTATCCATAGAATCTCCGGACCCGCATTCTAGAATAAAAAGTTTAGCTTAAGAGTTAAGTTATTGAACTTAAAAAAGAGTGAGGTATATATTTTTTAATATGATTCTATTCTTACCCCTTTTCCAAGGCCAAGAGGTTGTATAGAAAGATACCCTGAGGGTAAATGAGTTGCTACAGGCAATGTTTGTACATTCATATCCATATCCACATTTAATCTAGTAAAATATAACATTAATATAAAGTGACAATTGTAACATAATTGAATCACTATAGTTACTTCACAAAAACTATATATGTATTGTTATTCGTATAAAGCATAAGAGAGGTACACAAGTACTCCTATTAACTTAATAATAAAGATGAAGAATAATTATTATTACAATTAACATACCTTCCTTTGTGGACTAAGGGCGACCAAGCATACCCAACACAATTTTCAACACCATTCTCCTTTTTTTTATTCATATCGCAACTTATATGATAAAAAGTAAAGAGCAAGTGATGCTTAGAATGAAGTTTGGTTGGCAAACGTATCTTAATTTCTTCGTACCAGGAAGGAGTCGCATTATGATGAAGCACCGCGCATGATGCTCGTAAGCATAAAAGTGGAGCACCGGGTTTTCCATATATACACTATTGAGAAAACATACAAAAGAAAAGTTGAAAATAAAAGATGCAAAAAGATAAAATTATATTGTCCCTTCGCTGACGAAATGGATATTATACATACCCTTATAGGTGTTGCATCTTCACTGTCATCATCTCGTAATTCAACAACACACGCAATATTTCTAGCTCTGGTAAATATCTTCTGAGTATCAAAACAGAGAGTTTGTGGATACACATAGAGATGATTAATGTAAGTAGTGTATGGATGGACATCTTTTTCAGAAATATTTTCAAATTCTGCAATTTCAAGGGTTGGTTCGGATGTTGGTGGCAATGGAAAAGGCTTTAAAGCTGACAAAGATGTAGATAATGTATCTACAAATAGAAGAATATTATTTTAATTGTTTTATTTAAATTCACCTATATCAGAAACGATTTTCTTATTCAGAAACATACTATCAGGCAAATCTGTAATTGACTCAATTTTTATCTTCAACCAACCAGGTATCACAGTCAGTTTACTAAGCTTATCAGGCCTATAAAGAAAATATTTCAATGATCTATGCATAGTTTGTTCATAATTTATGAATTTCTCTGCAAAATTACATTGTTCATTTGCAAAATCTTTTTTCTTAATACATACTTTCTATACTCTGACAAAACTTTGAGTAGCTCCTCATCTTTTATCTTATTTCCTTCCTGCCTATATATAGCTGGAAAATCGGATGACGTATCTAACTCGCTACTGTATAATCTAAATAACGGCCTAGCAGCCCAAGCGAACGGCATTCTATAATTTCCCAATCTAACAGGAACACATAAAAATAACTGACAATATTATAATATTCATATAGTAAATATAAATGAAATACAGACACCAAAGGTATAATACGTAAAAAAAATATAAATAAATAAACTGTATAGACTTACCTTTGGCAACATGTTCTAACTTGTTTATGTATTTTCAAACCTAATCTTGGATCTTTAGTAGCTCTTAAATATGGCTCAGAAGTTTGGCATATATTTCCTTGTAATATTTTATCTATTCTCACAACCAAGAATATATCAGGATGAGGATTAGTAACGCTGAATATAGCCTGCATAAATAGAAATTTTCATTAATGAACAGTAGAATATAAATTAGTAATATCATTAGATGTCCAACGATTTAAGAAAAACAAACCTGTTTTGGATATTTAATCCATTCTAATGGTATATTCTTCAAATCATCCGGTAATTTCACATTTTCTTCTTTTGCAGATTCAGTCAAAATACCTACGGGACTCATTTCTTTTATTATATCTCGAACAATCTCATGATTAACATCAAAATGAAAATTCTCGCTAAGCTTTCTACCATTTCTTGCATCATAAAGACTTAGTGTTGTCTGATATGGTTCTACCTGACACAATGATTCCTTCTCATCTATCGGCGCTTGTAATCTAAATTTAAGACTTTCACATTTTACAAAAATTCTTTGTCCAAACTGTTCTTTATACGGATCAATATTTTGTTCATTACAATTGCCTGACTGATGTTTAGTATGCGGAATATGAGGATAAATACTAAACAGTCGTTTACGATTTTCTCGTCTTGTCAATGCTATGCTAGTATCAGTTTCCCTGGAATACTTTATCAATTGTGGATTCATACTTTGCTCCAAACCTTTCAGTGTCCCGTAAACCTACATATTTTAATCAAATCACATTAAATTATACATCATTCGAATTTATTTTAAAATGACTAAATATACTAAAAGCCAAATCGAACGAGATAATAATTTCTCAATACCTGCATTGGTTGAGGGGAAGGGGGTGGTGTGTTGCACGCTCTTTCTAACGAAGCGGCACGTTTCTCTTCTTGTTGTTTGTAATGCTGCAACACTGAGCTCAATTTTAACAACCAATCTTGCATGTCTGTTTCATTATCCGCCGCTAAAGTATAGGATTTATGAGTCCCACTCATCCTTAATTCGAAACAAAATCTTCCACGCTTAGGAATCCTAACAACTTCAGTGCAAAAATCCATAACTATCGTCAACTTAGCTTCTCCCTTTTTTTCATCCTTGAAAAATTCAAGAATGTACGTGCCATCAACCTCTTGCCGGAGATGACAAAATCTTCTTTTAAACGATTTCGAACCAATATGTGCAAACATGCGATCGGTGCTACCAATTTCTGGTCCTTTCATTAAATACCCTTCTTTCGTTATTCCATTACTTTTTGTTAGCTCCTAATAGCATTAAATCGCGAAAGTTAATGTCAATAGCAGAGAAAAATAATGTCTATACAATTTACACAAAAAATAAAATAATTTACCTCGTCCACCTGGTCTACTTCAGTATCAATTTCATACACTTCATCTTTCAGGTCATCTGATTTTGATATTCTGAAATATAATAGAATACACATAAGATCGTATGAAAATCATAATTTTAGCAAAACGGATATAAAGATAACAATATACTTAGGTAATTCAAGATAAGTTCCACTATATGCTGAATATTTATAATGTATAAGATTCCAATTAGATGTGTAACTTCGTAAACATTCTTTCGTAAGAAGATTCTCTGCTTTTTCTTCATTTTCTGCAATTTGTGGCACCGTTGGTACAAGAGTACGATATCTTCTGGGCAGTACCACTTGCTGTATAAAAAAGACAATAATTATAGAAATAGACAAACTAATCTATTATTTCATTTACATGTGAACAATAATTTTTTAAAGTAATAGTTAAAATTCAAAATATA